GGGGGGGGGGGGGGGGGGGGGGGGAAGGACTAGTCCTGTGATGGTGACGGTGAATTTTTCCCTTTTTTTCATAGTCGTTTGCCTTATAGCAATGGCTTATACTATAAAACCGATTGGTAGTGGGGAACCGGGATAACCCCGCGCATGCGCAATTGTAAGGCAACATGGTGAACGTTTTGGTCGGACTCTCACTCACGGGCTGTTTCACGGGAACGGCTGGTCGGTATCCACCAATCGACCATCGAACTTTTCCGGATAAATTACGAGTACATTTGTCCAAACTTGTAACTATATTTGGAGTATCGAATGGTCGATAACACTAAAGTGCATTTTTAGGGAATTTAATTTAAATTGTGCAGACAAACGTGATTTTCCCGCGCAAATAATTTGAATTTTTCAATCACTTTTACCGCGGAAATAGTAGTTTGTAAGTGTATTACCATTAATCCGTAGATTTTTTGTATGAAAAAGTGCGGAAACAGAAAGTATAACAAGGAAGGATTATGGACGAATGGGAAATAACTGGGTGGATAAAGCGTATGTGACATTCAAGTTGGACCATATTGGAGTTCCGTGACGACGCAATTGAGCCGCTGTCATTCGATTGGTATGTCAATTTTGATAATGCGATAACGGTTCAATGGTAAATTATAAATCGTGAGGCTACTGTGAATTAATGCAGTGGTATTTCAGTGGTGGTAAAGAGAAGTCAGTTTCTCGTGGGCTTCTTTTTTTTATTGAAAAAGTACAAGTCGACCTACGCGCCTGGGATAACCAGTTTCTTCCACTCGTTGAAATCTCCGTGGAAATGTATATACATGTATATGGAGAGGCTGGAGAGAGATACGGGCATACGGCTGTTAAAGGGTTCCATACGGTCTCTCTGTTATTTTATAAATTTACCGATGAAACTCGCGACAAATTATAAGTTTTGAACAGTTACTGGTTTCCCAGTGAAATTCATAAAAATAGGTAACAATTTACCGTTGTCGGACTAATTAAATTTTCATCTCGGTGTCGGTTTCTGGCGTTTTTAGTGGATATTAAGTTGACGACGAATTTATGAAACGGGAATCGTGTTTTCTCAAGACGTCGAGAAACTCGGCTTTTGCCTAGAAGAGAACTTATCATCGCCTTTATGTTCAGCACATGCACGGAGGAGGCGAGTGAAAGCCCTCTCCCAATGGAAATTCTTCCAAATCCAGCCAAATGCCTCTGCACGATGCGCTAGAATCTTTCTCTCATATTTTATCATTATTCTCGATTCCTTCTCGGGCTACCTTCCTTTTCTGTTTCTACCCCCGGCTTTTGTTCCTTTTTGGACCTCTATCGATATTGATTTCTCGATTTTATGATGACGTCGGGAATGCCGATTTTTTTTTTTTTTCGAGGATAAAGTATACTGAATTTGCAGAGGTTTGTTGCACTGCGAAAAGAGATGCGAAAACAAGAGAGGTGTGGCGGAATAGCCAGGCTAAAGGCGGTTTGTGGCTGTGTGTTGTGCGAACTGGTGCCTTCGTCCTCGACAGCCTTCGCATTCTTCGTGCAAGTGAAAGCCCCAGCGAGAGATGAGACGCCGTTGTCGTCGCGCGAGGATAAAACACGTCATTATAATTTTTCTTTTTCTCACATTCTTGATGATTATTTTCTATTGATAAATAATGACATTTAGGAGTATCGGTTTTGGAGAGCAGCGAGTGGGTCTCACTGACCTCATTCGAAAAACGAAAATGGACGTGATGTTATGGTTAGGTTTTTTTCCGATGTTTATGGTAATTTTTTATCCGAGTTGTTCTATCGGAAGTGAGAGTTTGATTGATTCGTGAAAGCATTCTTGATTATGACATTTAGAAATTTGGGAATGACAAACTGATTGTGGAATGGCTTCTATACAAAAAATTGTTGAATTATTCAGTCGAGAGGAGGTGAGACAGAATGAGATGAATTTAATAAAGATCTATGCAAATCTCGAATCATCCCTTTACATAGGGAATTCTGAATGAATCATTAAAAAATCTGAATGATTTCCCAAACGAAACTGATGTTTTCGACCATATGTTTTCAAATTGTTAAAATACTTTTGGGCCATTCCTCCTCAGGTGCGTTAGAGCATTCGAAACGTAGTGCAATTTTGATTACTTGATTTTTTAAGTTTTACTGCTGCTGACCTAAACATCGCCCAAAAGTATTTTAACGATCTGAATGATTTCCGAAATGATGCATTATGATTAAGATAATAATGCACTACCACATCTGTTGTAGCATCAGAAGATTCTTCATCTCAATTGTTGCTGAACGAAAAAATTCCGAAATTTAATTGACCGAAATGATTGAGACATTTTTCCCACCAGCAGTTTGAAACAGTTTCACCCGGTATGTCCGACTCATACCTTACCTTAGTTACTTTTCTATCCCAACACATTCCCCACTATTCCATCGAAAAACGCGATATCTCGAAACATACAGAAACGGTGTATATAACGTGCCCGTCTCTTTCTCTCCGTTCACAAAACCCCCTCGTACTCCTGCGCTCACCCAACTTGGGTTCATATTATTACGAAATCGCTCAAGTTATATAAAAACGCCTCGGGTGTCTTGCGCGCACCTCCGTAATTGATATACACCAACGGTTTTTTCTTCTCGTCTCCTTCTCGACCACGCACGTACGCAGAAATGAAAGAATAGGCTAAATTGTCCAGTGTCAAAATTGATGACAGCATTCACAGCAATCACTCACGTATTTCTGTGGTTATAATTTCATATGAATCATGAAATTGGAGAAAATAAGAAATCAACGGGCACCAGACGGTCTTCTAAGACAACTTTTACAATCTAACAGTTAATAAATCTGAGCGGCGGTTTTTTATGTCTCTGGAAAGGTCACACACTCGTCAGAGAAAAAAATTATGCATCGATGATTGTAAAAAAAGTACTGTCGAATGTGCAATTAAAATGACGTTACGGAAAAACAAATAAAGAGGTCAAAGTTAAGATTCAGCGAAACATATTTTCTCCGTTTGGCTTTCGTTCGAGTGTTTTTCAGAGCAGATATAATTGAAAGAAAAAGAAAAGAAAGGGAGTAAATTATTTTTCTATTGAAATGTCAGAATGAAAACACTGAATACATTCTGTTGTGAAGTGGTAGTAACCAATTGACAAATCAATTCTTCTCGTCGTGTTGTACGGAAAAGAAAATTTTATTTTTCAATCAAGGATAAACCACTTTCTTGAATTAACAATATGCAAATTCTTGATTTTAAAATAGACATTCTTCATTAATAACAATTATTCTTCACTCGAAAAGAAAATATACTTGAACCTAGTATGATATTCTTATTCAATAATTTTTCTTTCTGCATAAATACTGAATTTCATTAATTATGCACGATATTGCGATAAAATGTCAGCTGAAATTTTTCATTGGAGATTTCGTCAGCTGCAGAAAAGGTCTCTTGCCTTTTCCTTCTCGAAAAACTCGTTCCAAAGATAAATGCATAATTACCAAAAATGTCAAAGTTGACTTATGAGTTCTCTATTTCTCCATCTGTGAAATAGAATAAAAGATTGGATAGATAATGGCGTTCGCTTCGCAAAGAAATGCAGAAAGTGAAGGAAAGATTCGAGACACGAGAGACGTTATAACAAACGGGAGAGGATAAAAGCGACAGCGATAGAGAATAAAGATACGTCGAAACGGCGGCGCGGCGGAGAGGGGACGGGGCGGGAGGAGGGGAAAGTGTAGCAACTGGTAATTCCTTTCTTAAGGCTAATTATGCAAGGCGTAAGGCCCCGGAGTGTAGAAACGAGAGCTCCATAGCTGTTATCTTCCTGTTCTATATACGTGCGCATTCTTAGAGAAGGGGAGACTTCATTCGTTTCCTGAAAAATTCGATTTTCATCGAAGGACAAGAATTTTTGGAACAACTGATTCCTCAATGTCCTTCGACGCGTACACAGATTTTACATTAAGGTATTTACGGCGTGATGGGGGGGGGGGGGGGG